TCACATTATATCTCACTTTCTCTCTCTCTCTCTCTCTCTCTCTCTCTCTCTCTCTCTCTCTCTCTCTCTCTCTCTCTCTCTCTCTCTCTCTCTCTCTCTCTCTCTCTGTAGCTCCCTTTCTGAGATCTGCACATTTCTCTCGTTACTAAAGTTTTACCATATTATTTCTTATATCGTTTAAACCTATAAGGATATAAGGGAATTTACTCTCTGTACTTGAAGCTACTGATGAATTAATGCGTGTCTTTAAAAATTTTAAAGTCTTAGAAAGATTGTATTACACTGACTAAGGGCCTCTTATCATTTCCTTTTATATTCTATAACTTCCCTTTTAGTAATTGTATTCATCAAAAGACCTTGAGTACGGAAGATATTTTGTCGACAAAATAAAATATATAAATTTAGTATCACTAAAGCATTATCTTTATTGTAATCTAGGGATTACAGCCTTCTTTCAGCCTCGCTCACGCCCCGAAACCGCGCGATAGACGGTGAAGCACAAGAAATCCTTTCTGCCTTAATGAGAGGACCCCTGGTAAAGGACAATTTCTTATTCATCTTTGACACCGGGTCTGTACAAGGTCTCGACGTTGACTCCCTTGTGTCAGGCATCAACGCAACCGCCTCCTCTATCGTCCTCGTGAATGCCCACCATCTCCAGAGCTTCCTTTCGCAAGCTCCCGTCCGTTTCTTCAGAGGGAGCTTCTTGACGACTGTCCTTGTGTTTACGGAGAATCCACTCGACTTCTTAAAAGCTTTAAATGAAGACTGGAATCCCGACTATTTGCTTCTGTTTAATCTGAACGAGACTCTCGACTCTCTGAACATTCTCAGCCACGAGACGGTTCAAAGATCGAAGCACCTGACGCTCATCGAACGCGAAAGGAAGCCTCCTCCGGCGAGGTTTCAGGTCTTTACCAGCAGACCTTTCAGACCTAAGCACGATGGCTATGCTTTCAAGTCCCCGATGGGCATTTGGAACCGAGAGCGCTACAGGACGAGGACTGGCGTTTTCCCCGACAGATTCGAGACCTTTGACGGGGCGGTGCTGCACCTGGGGTCGTGGTGCGACGACTTCCCCTTCCTGTACCCCGAAGGCGGCCGGTGCGTGGGGACGAGCTTCGACCTCCTGGACATCATCGCCGGCAAATTCAACTTCTCGTACACCGTGCAGATGGAAACGGCGGACCACAACTGGGGCTCAAAGGAGAACGGGACCTGGACGGGCATGCTCGGCGACCTGATCTACAACAACAAGGACCTCGTCATCAATTACTTCCTCCTCACCGAAGAGAGGAACGCAGACTTCGACACCACCTACGCCTACTACTCGGAGGGCTTCGGGTTCGCGCTGGAGATCCCTCCTCCTGTCCCTCAGTGGCGGGGGCTGCTGTACCCCTTCACCAGGGACATGTGGATCACGACCATCTGCACGACGCTCCTCATGGTCGCCCTGCTCAGCCTCTGTCTCCTGCTGGTGCCGGATACGCAGGACCCGTCGCAGGTTTTCCTCATTGTGCGTAATTCACGCTGTTATTGCATTTATATTTGGTTAATAATGATATTAAAAAGTATTCTTGATAATGAAGACAAATATTATGGTGATGCTGCGAATCACTGCGATGATAATGAGAATGGCCTTGCTTCTGCTGCAACTACAAAACTACTACTGAAATGTTTTCATCAGTGCCGTTGCAACGATCCCCTAACCTTCCCCTTGTTCTCGCGGCCCGCAGGTGCTGGCGGGCATATGGCGCCAGTCGGTCCAGCATCGCCTGGGGGCCTCGTGGTCGCGCCTCTGGACGGGCTGGTGGTGGCTGGCGACCGTCATCATCACCACAGGGTACACCTCCAACCTCGTGGCTTTCTTGACCGTGCCCGTTTACCCGTCCCGCATAGAGACCGTTGACCAGCTGGCGGCGCTCGGTCTTAGGTGGGTATGGCTGTCGGGTATTC